CCGAGCGAGGGGCGGGGCAAGGACCACGCGGGGCCTGGACGGCGCCTCCGGGGACCCGGGGCCCGGGGCTAGGTCGAGGAGAGACCGAGCCTGGCCGTCCGCCCTCCAGCCTCCGTCCATCTCTTCAGGACCCCCGGCTCAGTCGTCCCTCTTGCTCTCTCCCCGATGCTGTGCCCCTCAGGGGTCCCGTCTCCGTCACATACCTGACCTTTCCAGACTCTTCCAGTATCTCGTCCTTCCGCGTGGACAGAGAGCTCCCGGTGAGGACGCGTTGAGACGGGACAGTGTGACTCCCGGGGTCGTCAGTCTTTACATGACAGCCCACCCTTGGGATACCCCCGTCCCCCGTGGCCCGCTGGACTCCGACCGGGAAGCAGGCTCTCCAGAAAGGGGACTCCATGGAGAGACTTCATGACTGTCACCTGGGTGCAGATCATGGTTCAAATCATGGCACATCCCATTCACTTCACGAAATCTCACGTCTTAGGATGATTTTTGAAGAACCGGTTTATTAATTACACTAAAAGCATAAACAATTTGTATGCAAACTCCGACTGGAAAAAAAAGGAGTCGATAAAGATGTTTCTCAAAAATGTCCTGTGCTCACAAATAAGACGAATTTGACCTGTTCGATACGTAGAAATGAAGCAGTGGCTAACAAACCTGAAATGGAAATGGTCTTCCTTCGTGAATAATTTTGAATGGATGTCCAATGTTCGAACTCATAATAAAAGCCAACAAAATCAGAGGCGCGCTGAGGCTCCACCTACAGGACACAAAGGCTTCCCTGGAGGTGGCCAGGACCCTGTCCACCCTAATTGTGAGCTCTTAAGTGCTCTCTAACGGTCGAGTCCAAAGACGGCCTTGGTCAACAAATAGCACACCCTGATGGGTGATGAGCTTTTGCACACCTATATGAAGTTGTCATACTTCGGAAAACCGTGGTCGTTATTTTTCAAATTCACGACCTGCTGGCTTGTCAGGGGCAACAGGAGAAAGAATGAGCATCACTTTCCAAGTCTTCCTTCCCTGGCCTTCTGTAAAAGTAGTCATCAAAAAAACAGCACCATCCACCACACTGCACAAACAATTCCGTTTTAGCCTAAGCCTTTGCAAACATTTGTATTACAGAAAATACAGTTAATGAAAAGGAATTGCTGGCATCACCTTTCCCCCACAATATTACATAAAAACGAACAACACATTAAATAAACGTTCTGTTATCGATAATTAAATATATTAACACCAAAAATCATGTATAAATTAGGAAATAAATGTACAAACTATTTCACAAAGTGCTTTTTAAAATATATACACAACATTCAAGAAATTCTTAATGTAAGACATTTCAGATTGAAGTTTCAGGATAACTTTTAAGTGTCCTTTTCTTTCAAAAAGTATTAATACAGCACTTTAAAAAAACCACATGTAAAAGGCATATTCCCAGAATGGCAAGGAATAAAAATATTCTCACAGTTATCTACGATGTTTGACATTTTAAATGGGAAATTTTAGGCCCCGATCGAGTTTGCAAATTCTGTGAAAACTGTTGGGAAAGAACAGAACAAAATCAAGGGAGATGACATCGCTAATGTGTGTCACTTAGCAATGCAGAACTCCCAAGGCAGTAATTTAACAGAGGTGTATGTTTAAGCCCTTACCAGTATCAAGGGTTTTTAAAACCCAACTGCCTACAGAATAAGCGCATCTATCCCAGGAGAGCTAACGTATCAAGAATTGGATATTTTTTGTATTTTCTTGGTTGTTCTTGGAAATATATCAGCATTTATTCAAAGATGTCCATAAAGGATTCACAGTAAATACGGATATTATTATCCAAGTAAAAGTTAATAAACTGTCGGTATTACTTAGTGAAATGCAGGATTTTTCCTCTGACCAGACTTTTCCAAGTGAGCTGTCTTTAACGTCTGCACAGCATTTAAATGGGATTCAACGTCCCAGGAATGTAAAAATTACTCAAATTTCTCTATATAAAACCTTTCCTTTTTCCCTAGGAAGAACACAGTGAAGTTACTGGGGTTCTTTTTAAAACTGAGATGTGAATTTCAGATATCCCTGAAAGAAAAGAAACACTCGCTTGGAGATCTAAACAAGCAGATCCTGGAAGAAATAACACAACATAAACAACCGTGCCAACTGTTTGGAAAATTCGGTATCGATATTTTAAATGATAAATTTAGAATTGGGCCTATGAAATATTCAAATCCCAGAAATGACCGTCAGGATAAACAGGGGTCAAAGGCAGAGCCACACCGGAGGACTTCCTGCTTCGCTTCGGTGCGGCCGCCCCCCGGGCTGGGCTGATGGGATGCTGCCGCCGTGGACCCACACCTGGAACGCAGCCATGGGCGCTCCTGACTCTAAAAGCAAAACGTAACTTTGTGGAGAAGCGGGATCGGCGAGGGACACAGGCAAGGACCGTTCACGTGAAGCACACTCAGACTTTCCACTGCGGAACAGACTGACCCAGACACAGGAGGTGCCCCGCCCCCCACTGAGGCGCAGGGAGAGGCCGCCGTCCAGGGCTGTGCGAGTGTGTCCAGCTGCGGGGGAGCCCGTGAGAGACAAGTTCACAACCCACATTACAACTGCGTGAGGAGTAGACCTATGGTCTGTGTGTATGAATACGCGGACTATGGCATCTTGTAGACGTCCCATCGCTGGGCTCAGAATACTCTGATTACGAGAGGACCCCTAAAGCTAGCTAGAAACACCGAGGGGGGACAAAGAAGGGGCAGCCTCTCCATTCACCGTGTGGACGTACAACACTATACACAGCACCAGGTAAGTCACACCAGCGGTGCTGTCTCGTGCCTCGGTGCATGTTTGGTGGCATGCCCAGCACGAAATGTGCACGCTTCACATGCGACGCTGCGTGGGGCGAAGGGGCGGCCAACGGGTCCCAGTTCGCCGGAACCACCAATGGCCCGTCCCTGGTGGACGGACACGCCACGGCAAGGCTCCGTCAAGAACGCGTGTTCCTTACTGCTGGTAATTTCCATATTGGCCCTGCAAGAGACCAGGACACAGGTTGTATCTCGTCATGAGTAAAGGGGTCCACACCCAAAGGGGGACAGGCCCCGCCGCGGACCACGTCCAGGGTGAGATGCAGGAGGCGCAGCAGGCACGCCGGTGGCGAGCTCCCGCCCAGACCCACACGGCAGGGCGGCGAGCGGCTTTCCCCAGCGTGGTCTGAGCCCGCTCTGCCACCTGTCGCCGTCCCTCGGCCCTCTGGGTCCTCGTCCTAGGACTATCTGCCTGGCTCCACACAGGCCCCCAGACAGCGTCCCGCTCTGTCTGGTGACACACAGGCCCTGAAAGTGCAGCCGCATCTGTGTAGCCGCTGCAGCGTCCCAGGCACGCGACAGAAGCGATTCCGCTGGCACACGCGAACCTCCGGGGACGCGGGGAGGACCCGCGCTTACGACAGGAAAAGCCCGCCGTGCGAGCAGCGTGGGCGTCCACGGAGAGGGAGTGCTTACAAACCTTACGGGCTCAGAGAACTGGCGCTGGAAGGGACCCTAGGAGCCAGCTGGCCCCCTCCTCGCTCCTCGCGCCCACAGGGACACCTGGCCGCGTGGGCAGGGGGAGCACCGGAAGCCTTGCCTGCTCGTAGCCGTACGGCCGCTGCTGCTGCGCGGACGGGCCCGTCTGCGACGCTCTGTAGCTTCCGTACTGCTGTCCTTGTCCCTGCTGGTAGCTGGAGTACTGCGACGGCGCCCCCTGGGCTGGACCTGAGACACGAGGAGCCGTGAGGCTGACCCGCCCGCTCCCTGTCCTCTGGAAGTCTCTGGAACACCGGCACCCACACAGGCTGCCGCCACGGTCTCACGTGACCCGGGCTGTGCCTGCCGCCTCCACCCCCACCCCCGGATGGGCCGCCGTCCCGTACGCCGCGCCTGCCTCCTGGGAGTGCCTGGCGTCCCGTAGGTGGTCACTGTACACGCGCGGGAGACAGCGCCCCTTCCCGGGGAAGCTCCACGGGCGGAGGCTCAGAGCGGCCGAACAGCCTCAGAAAATGCTGTCAGTGACGGCTGTGTGGGCTGGGCCTCGCCAGGACCCTCCTGTGGGGCCACCTGAACCCTTGCCCCAGGCCCGGGAGGAGAGGCACAAGCGCGTCGGGGGGACGGGCGGCTCTGGCCATGAGGAGGGCAGGGGTTAGCTAGACCCAGCCGGGGTGCGAACGCCCTGAGCTCAGCACCCGCCCATTCGCCCCACATCCGGGAGGCCAGCTTTTGCTGTGTGTTTAAAATGTTAGCAGTCTACAAGGCCGCCAAGTGGTGGCACGCTATGAAGTCACCCTCCTGTGACAGCAGACGCATGGAAAGCAGCAGGATTCTGGGGAGCATGGCTGGGGGCTCGGGCGCAGGTGAGGACCCAGGAGAGCCCCATGTGCTCTGGGGCTCTAAGCAGACGTGACCTGCGGGAAGGGGCCAGGCTGCGCTGTTTCGGGTAGACCTGGCCCGGGGTCAAGGCCCCAGAGGACTCTGGGCAGACACGCGGGTCACGACCCTGGCGGAACCTTCAGCTGTGTGGGGCGGCCTGGCCCAGGGAGACGAGTCCGTGCCTCTCTAGAGGACGGGGTCTCTCCCTTTGCAAAGCCCACGCTCCAGCCTGACGAGCCCTGAGAGCAGTATTTGCTGATGGCGCCAGGTCTGCGCAGACCAGCTGGCTCTGGCCCGGGCCCCCTCCCGTGAACCCCGCGGACAGATGGGCAGGTGCTGCCAGAAGCTGCTGCCAGGCCCACGTGCGGGCTGTCTCAGGTGAAAGGAGATGGGGCTGGGCTCCGAAGGCCCCACACCGGATCTTGGTTTTGAATCCCAGTCCCCAGTAAAAGGAGCCAGGGCCCTTGGACAGATGGCAGCTCCCACGGCTGGGGCAGGGCCATACTGTGGTCCCAGAACAAAAGGACAGGCCATTAAGGGGACAGGAGCCACCGAGAGAGCTCCCAAGAGGCAGAGCTGGGCCATGGCGAACAACAGAACAAGCAGGTGCTGGTTAAGCCCCCGTGAGAGACCATTGTCCACGTACACGAACGGACAGTGCGAGCGACTCATGGTGGCGAGGGTGGAGACACGGCCCCGGGATGGGCCCCTGACTCCAGGACTCCCCTGAAAAGACTGGGGGGAGAGGGGGTAACTCGCAGGGACACCTAGTAGATGACCCCAAGTGACCAACCAGTGTCAACGTCAGAGGCAGGTCACGCTGACGGGAGGTGATGAAAAGGGCACCCCGCCCCTGTGGTCTCCTTCCCCAAAGCCACAGCCCAGGCACACCCTGAGAAAGCGCCCGAGCCTGGAGCCTAGGGCCAGGTGGGCCCGGGGACGGAGAAGGACGTTCCGGGGAAAGCGGTGCTCTGAACCAGCTGGGCTCAGGCCACAGCGATGCACCGACGTTGGCTTCCGAGCTGACAACTGCACCGCGGCAACGGACCAGGTCCCCAGCGGCGTGCCGTGTGCCACCCGCAGCTTCCTGGAGACCTAGGCCTACCCTGAAGCTCGCCCAGGCGCACCCGCCGAGTGACAGCGCTGCCGGGCGCCAGGCGCCGCGGGCACCTCGCTTACCGTAGCCCTGCTGCTGCCCCGGGTAGCTCTGCTGGTTGGGGTACTGCTGCTGGTACCCCGCCTGCTGCTGGGCTGTGCCCTGCTGGTACCCCGCCTGCTGCTGGCTGTACTGGGAGTTTCCTGCAGGGTGAAGGGGACACGAGGTCATTTCAATTGCTCGTCAGTAAACGCGGCTGCAAACCCACCGTGAGGAACTGACGAGCAGCCGACTGACTCGCCGACGTCTCCTATAAAAACAGCTTCCGAGCAGGGGTGCATCTCAGGGACGGCGTGGCGGCCCCCTGCTTCCCCGATGTCCACCCCGGGCAGGCACGTGAGTCACCACAGGCAGAGCCCTGAGAAGCACCCGGGATGGCCCTGTGGTCACGGAACTTGGGCGCTTCCAGTTCAGTGACAGCCAGCACACTCGGCACGTTCAGATGCACGTAACTTCCCAACAGGCAGGTGCTTCCGTGTGCTTCAGGACCACGGAGCAGGCCAGGCAGCCCCGAGTGGTCGGGGGGGGCCGCTGCAGCCCAGCCCAGCCCGCAGCCGCTCTCAGGGTTCCCAGCTGTCCTCCAGAGGTCGGTGGCAGTGTGTGTGCCCTTCCTTCCCTTTGTTTTACACAGGAGGCGGCACCCCAGACACCCCGGTCTTGGCACTTGGCGTGATCTGGAGGATCTGCCGCAGCAGCCCATAGGGACCACTCCTAACAGCGCAGTGCCCTGGACATGCCGTGGTGGACACTGGTTCTGCCCCGCCTTTGCTGCTACTGCAAACCTCATGGCCATGAAGGGCAGCCATGTGCGCTCTGCAGCAGCCCTGATGGCGACTGTGGCCCCGAGCCACCTGCGGGCCCGGCTCCTGAGGGGGCTCCTGAGGGGCGGGCTGCATCTTCGCGCCACGGGCCCGGGCAGCCAGCACCCGCTCAAGAACCAGCTGCGCGTTACTGCCCAATCCCACAACCCAGGGCTTTCCGTCCAGAGAGTGGCTCCCGCATGTCACCACCACGCTCTGACGGGCGCCGTGCAGGGGCTGCCGACCCCCAGCCCAGAGATGCGCCTCGCCTGGCCGGCGGTGTTGGCAGAGGTGCCCAGGCCACACCCTGTGCACCCCCAGCCTGGGTCAGGAGGGGACTGGGGGTCCAGGTCCCCACCCACTGGTGGCCTCTGAATGAGGGGGCTCCGAGACGCACTCACAGCCCTGGCTTGTCACCTGGGCCTGACCCACCCTGAGCCGACCGCCAGCTGGACTTCAGTGGGGAGCTGGACTGCCGGCCCCGACCTTCCAGGGACACCCTGGAATGTGGACAGGGCTTCGGGCAACAGGAGCCCCCACTGCTCCGTCCTCGCTGCGGCGTCTGGCCTCTTGGTCCCCTGGCCCCGCCCGCCACGCGCGCCTTCCGCGAGGGGACACACAGATCTGACCGTCCTGCTGCTGCCCAGCCGCATCTGCCGTAACCTGTCAGCTCGAGCTAGACTTGTGGCCTTGTCTTGGGGACTCTACATACTTGGCCTTGTCATGAAACAGTCGGTCACCCTGTGACACCAACACGACCAAACCCTCTCGTTTTACAAGCTCGCACCCAGAACGCGGAGACCCAGCCCGGCCTTTCCCCGCCACCCCGAGCTCCCCGCCCACGCCAGCCACGCGCGTGCTCGGAGCCGGCGGCCAGGGTGTGCGGCACGGCGCGCGCTCACCGCCCTCGTAGTAGTGCTGTGTGGACTCCTCGAATGGCCGGTCATAGCTCTGCTCCGAGTAGGACTGCTGGTAGGCATAGTCGCCATGTCCTGTAAGCACATGGGGACGAGGGAGGTCAGCAGCCCGGCCAGTGGTCCCAAAGAGATAGCCAGGAGCTGAGTGGGCAGCGGGCCGGGTCAGGCAGAGTCCAGGATTGGTCACAGTGCCAGCTCCCCACAGACTGGGCCAGGTCCCCAGCTTTGGTCCCCTCAGGTGAAGGCAGACACAGTGAGCACGTCGTGTTCGCAGAGGACAGACGATGCTCAGGGCCCGGAACGTGACAAGCACCAGCAGCCACGAGCCAGCTGCCGGCGTCACTGCACCATCCTGGCCCTCCCATCCGTCCTGGGGGTATCTGGGGAGCCGTGAACCCTCAGAGGCCTTGTCACCACCCTGTGGCAGGGTGTGGCTCACCCTACCCCGGTCTCAGCCACCATCCCACCCAACCACGGACCCACGGGGGCCCTTCCCCTCACACCCACCGTCCACTGTGACCTCCTTAAGGGCCACCTCCAAAACTGTCGGGGCTGCTAACAGTAAAGGAGACGATTAAAAGGAAGGTCATCTGCAGACGTGACAACTGACCAGCTGGAAGATGAGTATTAACGACAACAGCCAGGCCAGGCCCGTCACCTTCTTGAGGGCATTTCATGACAAAGCCGTGCTCCTCCCTTGAAGCAGACACACCGTCTGCTCAGAGGACACGTCCGGCCTCAGACTCCGCTGTGCCTCGGGAAGAGGGACCAGGCACCCATGGAGGCGACCGGCTGCAGCCTGTGCTGCCCGGTCTGACCGCTGCCCGGCCTGCCCTCGTTGCGCCCCCAGTCACGTTCAGGCACAGGGGACACCGGATGCTTGGCTGGTGCCGGGAGCAGCGGTCCGAAGCCGCCAGGCCCCAGCCCCAAGCGCGTGCGGGCCTCACCGTCGGGGTAGTACTGCTGGCTCAGCGGCTCCGAGGCGGCCTGGCCATGGCCGTACTGCTCGCCGCCGTAGTACTCCTCCTGGCCCAGGTACTGCTGGGACGAGCCTGGGGGACGGCAGGGAACGGCTGTTACCATGAGACTCTCCGCCCTCGCGAGAGCATCCTCAGTGGGCCTCGGGTCACGGGACACCCACCATGCCATCCAGGGCACGCCAGGTGCTATCCCCATGCTCAGCCCCTGGTACCCCGGATTTCCTCTTACCAACACAGGCCCCTGTCCCCGCCCCCCATGGCAGACTCCAGCCTCATCCACCTCCAGGAAGATGCTGGCTTCGGGGCTCCATGCGGCTCCAACCCCCAGTGTCCTCACGTGACCCCTCAGCCCGGCCCGAGAGGCCCGTGGACGGCACATACCTTGCTGTGAGGGCCGGTAGGGCGCCAGGGGCCGCGGCCCCATCATGCTGCTCCCCTGCCCGCTCTGGCCCATCATGGCGATGGGCTGGCCCTGGTAATGCTGGCTGCCGCCCTGCGCCGAGGCGTAGTGGGACGAGGCCGCCTGCTGGTGCATCATGGACACTGGGCGACACGACAGACCCCGCTGACCCCGAGAAGCTCCCCAGGGCCCAACTGTACCTTCCCCCAGGGGAGCCTCCCGTTCTCCCCCACGAGATCATCCCCTCAAGTCCACGTCACCCTTCCTGCCAACCGACCCCTACACCAACTCCCACAACGTGCGACACTCAGAACACTGCCAAGCCGGGAGCCGCACGGGACAGAAACACGGGTCCCTGCCTTCTTGTTCCAGACTGCCCAAGCCTGTCCCACAGGAGCCCGTTGCCCTTGCCCACCCCTGGGACCCCAGGCTCCTGGTGGGTGGCCGGCCAGCCCGCCTGTCCACTCGTCACCTCCACTCAGAACCCTCTAGAGCAGCACAAGGGGACGTGAGCCACGTCAACAAGTAAAAAGAAACAGGTCAGATCTGTTTTCGTGATACGTTTTATTTGACTCAGTGTATCCAAAACTTGACCATTTTCGATGCGTCACTAACACCAGGCAATCGGGGACACACCCCACACCCCCCTGGACTAGCCTCGAAATCGCTGTGTCTGACACCAGCGACTCCGTGCAGGCTTGGCGCTCCCAAGCACTCAGCACTCTGCGTGCCACCACGGTGCGGACCCCGGCTCCGGGGCTCCCACTGGCCCTCCGCCCTCCACCCTGTGCACTGGCCACACCGCACACCCACCGAGCGGGCCCAGCCCCGGCCCCACGGGAGAGCGCAGCCCGCCCTCCTCAGAGCCTTCCCTGCGGCCGCCGTGGGGAACAGCCCAGGCCCCCAGAGCCAGGCCCCACCTGCCCCGCACCCGCCAACCCCCGCCCTGGGGCACAGCCCAGGGGGGCGCAGCCCCTAGGGCCCCCTGTGCCACCTGCGCATGCCGGAGGGTCCCAGGGCCAGGGGTGCAAACGGGCCGGGCCAGGGGCACTACCTGGGTTGGACTGCATGTTGATGTTGGCCCGGGACACGTAGTTGCTGATGGCGCCCTGGCCTTGTAGGGGCACGCTCTGCGAGGCGGGTCCCGAGTGGCTGTAGCCAGGCCCGGAGCCGTGGCCGCCACCCGACATGCTCATGGAGGTGGTGGGCAGCGTGCTCTGCGCTGTCTGCTGCATGGCCACGTGGCTCGGACCTGCGGGGGGATGGGGCCAGGGGCCTTCAATCCGTGTAAAGCCACCGAGGGCCTCACCGCTCCACACCCGGCTCCCTCGGACGGAGGACTCGGGCCCTCAGTAAGAGCTCCAGGGTCTCCTACAGGTCCCCACCCACAGCCAGAAAGTGCCGTGGAGCCCCAGGCCCTGATTCAAGGTGGCCCCGACCCAACGGGAGGGCTTTCTTCTCTGTACGCCACGCCCCCCATGCAGCCACAGACCTGCCCAGGCCACCGGGGGTCAGAGGGGCAAGGGGCACCCCGCCGTGGCTGCTGGCCGCCAGGGAGCCTTGCCAGTGACTGTCCCAGGAAGCAGCCCGAAGCCCGAGCCCCGCCTGAGTGCACCCCGCGCTCACCGTTGCCGATCTGGCCCTGCAGGAGGGAGGGTGGGGGCAGGCCCGAGCCCACCGCGTCGCTGAGGCCGCCCTGGGAGTGCAGGCCCTGGCTGGAGCTGCCCTGCGCCAGCGCCCCGGGGCCCAGGTTCATGTTCTGCGTGGGTGGCTGCGGGCGACAGGAAGGCCATGGGAGGACAGTCAACCCAGAGAAAAACACCGGCAGCCACTCCAGGGACCCGGCAGTCCCTGAGATCTGCCACAACCTCTCACGGTCACCTGGCCAGTGTCTGTAATGAGCCTCTGCTCGCACACTCGGCAGACAAGCCGGATTAGCAGCCTGGACATCGCAGGCCAAGACAGAGGTGACACCGAGCATCTAATGTGAACACTCAGAACCTAAATGAGTACCAAGCTACCGACACACCCCTGGAGGTTCGAAGCTGGGCCCCCTTTCCCGGTGCAGGGAGCTGCTTTGCCAGCCCACCGTGTCCACACCCCTCTATGTCCATCTCAGGCTCAGCCAGCCAGCTGTCTCTGTGTCCCCCGCACACACACGTGCCCCGGGGCCCTTGCACAGGTGGTCCTGTGCTGACTGTGGGCACGGCCCCCGTCACTCCTCAGCCCCCTGTGCTCGTAGGGTGCAGAGGGAGACGGCGCTCACCACTGACCCCCTGCCCCTTCCTCTCCCAGGTGCAGACCAAACGGCAGCTCCAGGGTGCACGGTCTACACCCGACCTCGGAAATGAAGTTTCCAGCAGGATCTGCTGGTATTTGCGGGGTGAGGAACTCCGATTTGACGGGCCAATCAAAACTAGTTTAACATTTTTACTAGCCAAACACATCGTGGTGTGTACGATGTCACCACTTTCCACGGGCACTGGGAGGTAAGCCACTCCCGGCGACATGTTTCTCTTGGGACGCCCAGCCCCACAGTCGATACGAGGCTGTCCTTCCCAAGGCTGAAGCTCGCTGACCGCATCAGAGGCCTGACACGGCACCTTCGCAGCAATAACTTAACGTGGGGAGAACACGTTTTGAAAAGTCAACCAGAAATGAAGTGTTCACAGGAGCGAAGGGTTCACCGCACTGGGCGTCTTTACGCTTTGCTGTTGCATCACGAGCGTGCAGGCTCCCGGCTCATGCTTCAAGTCGCTCAGAAGAGCTCGCGATACAAAGCAAGCACCCGGGCCACCACCTACCCTCCTGAGAGCCACCTCCCGCCATCTCTAGGCCTGGCTCCTGTGGGGTCACCCCTCTGCCGAAGAGGCCGATGGCACGACTCTGACTAGCACACTCCGGACCCGTCTGACTGACTGACCTCCTGTGTGACAGGAAGACCCGCCCATCTCGCCCGGCAGTCACCTTGGCCACCCCAGATCCCCACTCCCGCACCTGTGCTCTGAGGCAGCACCTGACCGCACTGGGACCCGCCCCCCCGCCCCCGGGCACTCACGGCGGGGAGCAGGGACTGCATGTTCTGGTTGGAGTCTGCGATCGTGGCCAGGTAGACCAGGTTCCGGTGCAGGATCTGCTGGTACCTGCGGGCAGGTAAGAGGCACGCAGTGAGAGGGGGAGCCTGCAGGCCGATCCAAAGCAGAAGTAAAGTTCACCCAGGACATCTCTGCCCTGCAGCCAAGACCCGGGAACGATGACCCAGAGGACACTGGGGGACAGGGCGAGCAGCAGAACGCTCTGCAATCCAAGACAGGGCCGGGCAGGGAGTGGGCTCCCATTCGATGACAAAACGCTGGAAAGGTGGTGGCCACAGGGGAAGTGCCACCTGGTCTGTGTGGAGAGGAGGGTGGGGACGAATCATCCTCCAAGTGACCCTGGCACCAGGCCAACTGGAACCCCCACCCCTGAAGAGGTGCTGGGGGAGATGGTGTCGCTCGGCTTGGCCAAGCTCAGGCTCATGGAAGAACGCCCCGGTGTGTGACAGCGCTGCGCGTCACGCCTCTAGGTGGGTGTGGCGGCCAGGTCGTGCACCTACTCTGTCTGGCCCTAGAGATCATATCTGGAGCTCCCTGTCCCCTGGTGCGTGTGCCAACTGCTCGCAAGGCCACGGCAGCGTCAGCCCAGGCCGTCCCAGCAGCCCCCTCGCCTCCCGCTTCTCCTTGGGGCCACCTGGGGCAGCGCGCTGCCCTCCGAGGGGCGACTCTCAGGGGTGTGGGTGACCCAGGGAGCCCGGCGCCCGCGAGGCCTTCCCGGTGTCGGGCTGACAGGGGCGCCTACTGGGTGCACTCGGCCGTCTTGCCCTTGCTCTGGTAGTCCAGGATGCACTGGATCAGGTGGTGGTTCTCGTCCAGCATCTGTGGGAGAAGCAGACGTGAGCGCGGAGGCGTCTGCGGTGGCCTGGAGGAGGGCTGGGGGTGCTGGCTCCAGTCACTGGCATGAGTACTCCACGTCCCGCGGTCACTCCGATGGGCAGCCCCAGCCAGCAGGACCGAGCATTCCGCAGCCCTGTGCAGAGCACACAGCCCTCCACGTGCCGGGTCAGAACCCCGCGGCCCCAGGCTGTCGCCTGCAGATGAGGCCGCGCAGCCTGCACGACCATGTCTAGGGCCCCCGAGCATGGTGCGCCCACCCACCTAGGGTGGGAAGAAGCTACAGCAGGGCCCTGGGCCCTGAGCCTGGTCTGGAGGGTGTGAGGTCTGTGAAGCCGACCACACGGGGTTCCTCCGGGGGCAGTGCTCACGTCCCTGCACTGTGTCACGAAGACCAACAAGAGCCACCTCCTCGGGATGGCCACTGGGGGGGGGCACCCCAAGGGTGACAGGGGAAGGAGGAGGAAGGCCTGACGGGACCATGGGCGGGGACTGCCCCGAGAAGTGAGGCAGGGCGGCCCAGAGGGGACAAGGCAGCCATGGCCGCCCCCGCGGGCCCAGGGTCCAGCAAGCATCCAGGCAGGCGGGCCCGGGTACACCATCGTCCACCTGGACGTGAAGAGACGGGGCAGCGCCTGGCCTGCAACCCATCGGCCTGCTTGGGAGGGCGAGGTGAACTGAGCCCAAGGCAAACACGCGCTCCATAGAAAGGCCTCGCTCAGAAATTCTCCGAAGGAAAAGCCCGTCTCCGCCAGACTGTGCCTGGCCAGCGCCCAGCTCTGCCAGCCCCCGAGCAGGTGAGGCCCTGGCAGCAAGGGGGCAGAGAGGGCCACCCGCCTGCCACCGCGGCACAGCCTAGCACACTGTCCCCAGGGCCTCTGCCTGTGCAATGCGGCCACCTAACGCGCTATGACTGCGTCCGCTCCTACAGCACCCCGGGCCCAAAGCCTCCCACCACGGGTGACAGGGTGCAGAGGGCCTGGCCCCGCCACGCTATAGGGCCGAGGTCAGTGCTGCTAGGTGACCTCCCCAGCCTGGCTTCCCCAGCACCCGAGACTTCAGGGCCGGCCCTTCTCGCTCTGTGCTTCACGGTGCAACTGCCTCCTCTCTGCTGGGGCGCTGACACCCCAATCAGCACTTCCCACCTTGACCAGAGCCACCGGGGACGGGAACCACCAGGGGGCACTGTGGGCCCCGAGCTGCCTGCCAGGCTCACCTGGGGGCAGGTGAAGGGCATGCTGGCCATTCACACCTTATGATTCTTTCTCCAACTAATTAACAAAGGAAAAACACCCCGAGAGCCTCCCCCCCTCCCCGAAAGCCGCCCTCACAGGACTGCCCGGCTTCAGCAACCCGCCAGGAGTTCCGTCCCAAGGACACACAGGACGTCACGCTAAAATGTTTTCTGCACAGGACACGCAGTTCAGTGCTGCTCATAATAGCTCAAAAAGGGGGGCGGGGGGGGTGCTACATGGCCAAAGCCCAGAGACTTAAGCGAATTATGGTAGAACCACATGCTGAAACGTTAAGCAGATTACAAACGTTTTTGTAGTTTTTATCAGCTGTGAGGAAATGCTACAAAATTTGTCAGCAGGAGAAAATGTTAAAGTGTTAAAAAAAAAAAGCGCACGGGATGGGGAGCACGGCAGAGGGGCGCGGCCGGCACGGACACGCTGGCTGGGCGGGGGGCAGGAGAAGCAGCGATCGGGGGATCGTTTTATGAACTATGTAAACGTCCAAGCGATGTACTGTATACTTGAAACTAGTAAAAATAAATGTTTATTAAAAAAAAAAAAAAGCAGGGCACAGAGCCCTGTCTCAATTCAGTTAAACACACTCAGGAAGCGTCGGGTGCAAGACAGCGAAATGGATGTGCACTGAGCTACCAACCCCCGCGGGCCCGCTGGGAGCGGGGTGAGCGAGGCAGACACTCAGCAGCCAGCGACAGGGTTCTAGAAGCAGCAAGCAAATGGACACTGGTAAGTGGCTTAGCGGACCCCAGGGTGCTGGGCGTGGCCCAGAGCCACACGGGGGAGGGAGCTGAGGTCCCAAGCCCCCAGCCCTGCCAGCTCCCCGGGTGGGAGGTGGGGAAGGGGGGATTCGGGGAGCCGGGAAGGCATCCCCAGGGAAAACCGCCAGCGTGGAGGAAAGAGAGGACAGGGAAGGCAGGAGAGCACCTCGTGAAGCCTCCACAGCTCTCTGCCCCAGGTGCGAGATGGCAGCGTCCCCGCCTTCACCAAGAACGGAACCCACCGCACTGCGAGCCCGGACTTCCACCGTCCGGAACTGTGAGAGACATCTGGCCGGCGAAGACAGGAGAAACGCCAGAACTAAGAACCTTGCAGAAGTGGCCACTTGGTTTGGAGATGAGGGGACAAATGGCGTGGGTGGAGAGAACCACCAGACCAGCAGCAGCTCAGAGAAAGCCCTGGGACAGGGCCGCCCTCAGAGCCCCCGAGGGAACGACCCTGGGACACCCAGATCCCGGACTTCTGCCTCCGGGACTGAGAATAAATCCCTGCCGTTTTAACCCCTCCCCCCGCAGTTTGTAGTAATGTTACGGCGGCCACAGAAAACGAATACGTCCACCTTTCCCACATGCTGCCACCGACAGAACCACTGTCACCGATGCTCCAAGGTGCCCTGGGCGCTACCTGTGCCGGGCATTGTGCCAGGCCCGCTGTGCCTCGGCTTCGGGCTATTCGCTCTGCTCTCCACCTCTGCGGCAGCAGTTACTCTGAGTTTCCAAACCAAGAGCATCCGCACCGAGGCAACGTAACTTCTGATTTTTGGTCAATTTGTTCTAAGCTCTTTTGTCACAATAATATCACAATAAACAAACAAAAACCACTTGCAACGATGATGCTGTGACCGTGACAGAGTAGACCCCCCAAAACTTTTATACATTGTTAGTGGGTGTACGAAACAATGAAACCACTTCAGAAAAAAATCTGACCGTTTCTTATTAAATACAGTTTTTTCTATGATCCAGCAATTCTACTCAAAAAAAAAAAAAAAAAAAGCCAGGCATTACACCAGGCAGGGACACAGCAGCATAAGTCAGTGACATGCAACTTGGTAGCCTAAGCAATGTGTCAAAGCGCTACCGTAGGCACGGGACTGCCAAGGGAGCGTGAGGGACGGGACATTTGAGCGGGGCCTTAAGGGCTGAGAAGTTTGCCCGGCAGAAGCCTACCCAGATGTGCTATAGGGCAGCGGTTCCCAACCTCTGTGGCACCAGGGACCGGTGCTCCTATGACAATCTAGCGCCTGAGGATCTGAGGTGGAGCTGAGGCGGTGATGCTGGCGCTGGGGAGCGGCTGCAAACACAGATGAAGCTTCACTGGCTCGCCCGCCCAGCACTCACGTCCAGCTGTGCGGCCCGGTTCCTAAGAGGCCAAGGACCGGTTCCGGTCTGCCGCCTGCCCTAAAGACAAGTTGTACACTTCCTGCTCTCTCACTACTAAGCAGGCCTCTGAAAAGCCACGGCTTTCTGAAATGCTCGGAGCACGAGCACACACTGTGGACACGGCTCACATGCATGTGGGACATGCGCCTCTCGACCCTTCTCACGCTGCCAGTGAAGGAGCCCGGGGTACACAGACCCACTGTCAGAACAACAAGACGGGTAGACTGTCAGCCCCACCAGGTCAAACCAGATGGTACTTAAGCAGCAGCCTGTTCCCGGAGGCCGGCAGGCTGGCTTCCTGCCCGCGGATGCAGTCAGCAGCCTTTCGGACCTGTGCGAGAGACGGGGGGTTTATAGAGCTGGGTGTGGAGGGAAACACCTGGACGAACACTGAAGTCCAAGGGGCTTCAGGAACGGGGACTGAGCTCATCCCACTTAAGCTCCAGGAGCCAAGGTGCCTGGGGGCCCCTGGGATTGCCAACGTGAGCCTCTGAGCCAAGCACCCAACCCCCGCCTCACCAAGCGTTCCCGCATCGGGTGTCACAGTTGGGGCAGACCCTGGAGCCACTGTCTGGGTTCCACTCCTGGCTCCACCCCTAACCGGCAGGCACCTGGCCTACCTCCGCCTCGCTTTCCTCACCTATAAATTGGGGATGACAGTAGCTGTCACAAGGAATTAAATGGGCCAACATCTGCAAAGCCCTTGGAGCAATGTCTGGTATGCAGCAAGCACCACATAAGTGCTCACCAAGCAAAAATGCTTTTAACTCTGTATTTCTGCTGCTTCTCAACTGGCCTCTTTCCTGTTCCGAGTGCACTCAGCCCTCATTTGTCAAAACCAGCCACAGCAAAGGTAGTCTCGAAATAGACAAAGTCCCCGCGTCCTCAAGGAAGAGGGGCCCGGGTCATCAGGGGAGATCAGAGGTTCCTGGGGACTCAGGAATGCTGCTGTTGACCCCAAGAATCTCGAGATTAGGAAGAAATCAACACAGCTAACAAAAACGTTAATAAAATTCAAATGAAAAAACATGGTTTTTATTCCGAACTTGTCTTCTAAAGGGAAACAGCAGAAAATTTAAAGTCTCAACTTAAATGCTTAAGAGTTTTGTTAAAGATGCCCCCAAACCCACGCGGTGTCTCTAGAAAACCACGAGGCCAAACTTACAGAACACAGGAAAAGGCTGTAAGAAGCTGTAAAGTTGCTGTTAGGTGGTGGCTGGCCCCGGTGTCACGCTGAAAAGCAATGCGACACGCGCCTAAGGGCGGCCGAGCTTGGCCAGCGGGTCGACTCCGAGGTGTCGCGCGCTACTCACAGGGCTGCAGGTATGCCGGAACGGCGTCGCACACTCGGGACGCGCCCCTTTGTGCTTCGGAGTGTCAGCACCTCGGCGAGGGGAGAGCGCAGCCGGCTGCTGGGCCGGGTCGCGTCACCCCGTGCGCCTCCT